CTTCTTCGAACGTATCCTCCTCAATTCCGTCATAACCCTCTTGATCAGAAATAGCGGATTCGTCAGGAATTTCTTCTGTATCAGAGTGGCTTTGTTGGAACCCATCAGCAAAATTCACACGACCGATTTTTTTCTTGGAATTATTAGCCATCATATTCTTAATTATGGGACAACTGCGATAAGTATGTCCCGGCTTTTTGCAAATCTCACATTTGCGCTGGATCGGCCTAGTACTTACTCTAGGATCTCTAGCCAGATTTACTGATGAATTGGGGGGGTTAGGCAATCCCTCAAGTTGATCTAATTTACCCGCAATATTGACTATCGCGTAATCAATTTCCATCGGTTCTAGTACTCTGTTATCTTCGGTTTCGAGACCCATTTCCGCATAATTCCTTAACTCTTCATAATACTTGGCCTTCTCAGTTTTAGGACGAAAATTTCGTTGATAATCATATACTGGAGGCGTTTTTTGAACGAATTGCGGAGGTGGTTGAACGATTTGTTGAGATGGTTGGAATACAGGTTGTTGTACAATTTGCTGAGGCGGTTGAAATGCCATTCCATTCATACTATTCGCATTTCCGTAATTAAATGAAGAAGGCCTACGTTTGAGCCACAATTTCTTGAGATCGGTGAAAAATGCATCGTTATTTGCGGGATTTGCACTTTCCATTCGATTGAAAAGCTCATCAGGTAAATGATTCATAAGAAATGACAATGCATTAGCATCATCGTTAGCAACACCCAATAATAGGGGGTGTATTCTCGTCTCATATGTTTCCGGTGTATCATTAGGTAAAAATTTTTCATAAGCTAACCTCTGGAGAGCAACTTGCTGTGTTCCAATCGTTTCTGTCTGATATTTATAACGTAACCATGCAATAAAGCGAGCTGGAGTATCAATTGCATTTCCCGCATGTTGATTGGGTACATCTGCATATTTTCTGCCAAGTCTACCCTTTAAGATAGCTACTTTATTGGCATCATTGAGATTAGTTATCGCAGGAATAGCTAGTATGGCGTGAATTTTATTATACCATTCATCAGGCTGAACCTGTCCATCATAGAATTCAACATTTGCGAGTAAAGGTGTAATACCAGTCAAGTCACCTATAGCTGTCATATTTAGTGGATTATTATGAAGCGCTAAAATTTGTTGATTTAAATTTATTATTCTTAGCCGTGAATCCTTTTCCCTATTTTCCCACTTTTTATGCTTCGTCTTTTGCTTGATATGTTTACCTTTTCTCTTTGCATGCTTTCTACGCCAATTTTGTAAATCGGTTTGACATGTTTGTAGTTGCCCGGTCTGAAAAATGTGGGCCTGGTTAAGAAGATCGAAGTTATTATTCGCCGTATCCAGCTGAGCCTGCAATTGTATGATAATTTGCGCATCTCCCTGATTTTGGGTCTGAAGCTGGGTCGCAAAATTATTTAACTGATTAATTGCATTAGCATCTTGCTGATATTGGACTTGCGCTTGGGTATTTTCCCACTCAGCTATATCCCGAAGTCTATTTACAGAATCGTTAACTGTAATAATTTTGTTTAGAATATCTCTTTGATTCCAGGCCGATATTTGGTAGTTTCGGATATAATCATCAATATGCCCATTTTCATCCAGAACTGTATCAAATATTGTATTAATCTCATTGGGAACTGGTGGTTGAATCTGATTCGGATTCGGTTGAGCCATCTTAACTATGTCAAGTGAATTTTTGATTTCTGCGGATTTATTATACTTCCGAGATGTAAGTTTTCGAATTCTATTTTTTAACTTGATTACTTCCTCTTCGAGTATAGCCAACTGTTGTTCTCGAACAAGTATATAACTCTCTGTTTTATCTACATCCTTTAAAGCAGATCGGAGACGCTTTTGCAAATCAGATAGCTGGGATTTGAGTTCCTGGATCTCTTTCTCATGAGCTATGATTGTGGTATCTTGAAATGAAATGGTCCTACTGCATTGTTCTAGCTCTTTTATGAGAACGCGAATTTTTTTCTCGTTTTTTTGATTTATAATTGTCTCCGCATTAAGTACCTTCCTCAACTCGTGATTACTTTCCAGCAATGCTAAATAAGCTGGATCGAAATCCATGTCAAAAAATTCCGCTTGGTTTATAGTATTGATTATAACATTTCGCAATCATTGCAATGAGTGTACCTAGTATTATAATCAGTGCAGATGAGGAATTAAAAATCGTTCTTCGTATAATCTACTACCACGTACCTGGATTTGTTACAAATGCTAAAAAATTATTACAAGCATGTCAACAAGAAGGATACAATCATTTTCGCCTACGAGATATTGAAAAATGGTTAAAGAACCAGTATGTTAATCAAATACATCTCTTTCCGCAAAAATGCAAAGCGGGAGCAGGATTCCAGAAGGTATCCATTCCTAATAAAGTTCATCAGTGTGACCTATTAGCCCATGGTTATGATGATCAGGATGGTGAAAAAATATACCTTTACACTTTGGTAGTCATAGACGTCGCAACTCGCAATAAAAATGGACGTTCTCTAACATCGAAGAATAGTTTAGAAGTTTGGAATGCCATCGAAGAAATTTACAATGATCCCAACGATCCTCTCACATGGCCGAAGTTGTTAATGGTTGATGGTGCTAAAGAGTTCTCTGGACATTTTTCGCGGGGAATGCAACGATATAATGTTTCTATCTGGGTTGTCGACCTTTATAGTTTCGAAAGTCTAGCATTGGTCAAAGCATTGAAACGAAGATTAGCAGAAATAATATACAAGATTCAATATGCAATAGAATCTAAATTACCAGCAGGAGAACGCTCAACATTATGGAATAGGATTCTCGAAGTAATTTTTGACAATATGAATCATACTCCAACACGATTAATCGGAATGACTCCTTCCCATGCTATGAAGTTGAAAGAAGTGATCTCTAAACCATCTATCAAACCCAAGAGACCAATTGGAGAAGACGAAGAGCAAATACCAAAGGGTACTACTGTTCGATACTTATTAAAACCCGGTGAGTTAGAAGGTGGACATACACGTCGAGCAACTGACCCATACTGGAGCCTGCGGGTCTATCGAATCAGAAAAATCGTTGTTGGAAAAAAACCACCACAACCGGTCTTATATTATCTTGAAAAAGAAGCGGTTGAATCGACCAAACATTTGATGGGTAGAAATCCACGTCGACCATTTAAGCGCGAAGAATTGCAAATCGTAGATATGGAAAGTTTAGAGTACCCACCAGATGAATTTATCCAAAAATATCATTACCAAACTGTTAACCATGTGACTTTAAAACCAGTGTATCCTCGAAATATACCATTATCAATTGGAACAGTCTTAGAGGTAGCCGTTCTTGCTTAAAGCTTCTCTTATAAAAGTTTCGATATCCGAGAAATATGGTATTTCGATGAGGCATACACCCTTTTGCTTACATATATCCCGCTTTTTTTGATCACGTAGTTGCTGACTTGTCAAATCAGTCTTGCCATTCGGGTGAAAATGCTTCGGAACAACCTGAAAATGTTGCTGGCCATGGAACTCAAATGCTAATTGCAATTCCTTATTATAACCGTCAAGATGTAACCCTTCTAAGAACTTAGGTCGGGATGGTGGAAATTCTTTTCCTAACAAATCTTCGAATATATACCTTGATGTACGCTCCCCTTTCAAATGGGGACATAGGGGGCACCAGTCATATCTCTTTGTAATAACTTCGATTGGTCTCTCCCATAAGTGATTTCTATTGCATGAAAATAAGAAAGTTGTAGGACCGGTTTGAATAAGAGCCTTCCCACCGTGTTTTTTGGCGTAAATTTGAGCTTCTGCAAGATTCGACATGTCTATAGTTATGTATATTAGAAAGAAAAAAAAATTCGTAAAGATATAGTTGAATTGATATCAGAATGAAATACTATTATATATATCATATCGATGAAGTTAAACCACCAAAAAAATCTTTAGACGATGAAGATGCCCCAAAGTGGCCATTCTATATGGGGGTTTTTGGAAGATCAAACACTGGTAAAACCAATATGGTGGTAGATCTATTTTCCGGAGATAAATACTATGATCTCAAAGAAAAATCAGAGAAAATTGGCGAACGTCATATACGTTGCAATGATATTGTATTAGTAACTCGCCATCCCAATGAACCAAAATACCGATTACTTCGAAACTTCTATAAGAAAATAGCAGATCGTTCCAAGCCGTACTATGAGGATGTTACATTTACTGCAATTACCCCTGATAAAATCCCAGATCTGAAACAATTTAAAAATCCAAAAAGACGGACTGTTTTAATTTTTGAGGATGTGTGTACTGAACCCCAGTCAATTCAAAATCGTATCATCCCATTTTTTACCAGAGGGCGCCATAGTAATATTTCCGCAATATATATTTCACATAAATTCACTCAAATGTCAAATATCCTTCGTGAAAATTCAACCCATCTTGTATTATTTGATGGTGGGGGGTCTACAGAAGCTATTGCACGAATTATAAGACAATACATAGAAGAAGATCCACGTAAAGCTTCTAGAGTTATCAATAACTATTTGCGAAATCGTGAATTCATTGTCTTCGATACTACTGTACCAATTTCCGATCCTATGTCCATCAGAGTCGGTTGGATGAATCCTCTGAACCTGGAAAAAGAGATCAAGTTATTGACTGCATAATAAGAAAATAAATTATGATTGAGATTTTTTAGTGGATTAACTCCGCTAAGCTTGAATAACTTATCTTTATCCTCTGCAATTGTAACTTTTTTTCTTCGATTTCATATAAAAAAGATGTCTAAGTTTAATCAAATAATAAATTTTTTTTTCCGCCATTTTTTTTATATAGAATATAGTATATAGTTATGTCTTACTCACCACTCTGTCGTATGTAATTAGTTTGTATGAAAAAATATACCATCAAACCTTGGTAAACTGAGGCATTTAACAAAAAAAAGATACCATTATCCCAGAAATGGCGATAAATAAAATTGTAGTAACATATTATATTCTAACAATATTCGGATATGTCTTGTTAGCATAACAATCTGGATTCTCGATCCATTTTACCATAACATACCAAGAATTTCCATGAACTACTCTATAGCCTCGTTGACGTAATAATTCTATAACATAGTTTTGCAATCTATCGTGTAATTGGTTTTTCTTGGAACCTATCCAATCATATGGAATATAATATTCCTCGTATGTTCTAATTCTAAATTCAATATCAGGTGGATATCTGTTATATTCTTTTATAAACTCAGAAAATTCCTTAGAGTAACGTAATTTAAATTGATCCAGAGATACAGGATTTTTCAATTTACAAGGAGTTACACCTAAGAATTTCTTTTCATCGGGAATAATATCCGCTTTTACAGCATTCCAAACTTTGGATGTCAATGATTCAGGTCTCTTCTTGAAATTTCTCCAAGCTTGTTGTATAATCCTTGCACGTCCAAAATCGGTTTTAGGTCTAGAACAGTAGTTATCCCAATGATCCTGCATCAGGTCTTTAGGTTCAACCATTTCCGCAAATCTTTTATAAGCATGGTCAAACGTTTTTTTAGGCTTTATATCCACATCAGCACGAAATACCTTCCAACACCCGAAACAGATAGCAGTCCCATTCTTAAGCGGTTTTGGTCTGTAGTAATTTTGGTAATCATCATAACCTACAAGTCTACCTCCAGGATAAGAAGCAAATAAGCAATATCTATGATACATACCAAGTTTATTCTCGCTTAATAAATCTTGAAGATCGATTCTAACTCGTACCGCCCATTGAATAAGTTTTTCGTCTCGTTTTACTATAGACAAGTTGTCATATTTTTTTTCAGTATCAAAGAGTTTCTCAAGATTTTCACCATAATAAATAGGATGATAATAGTTGAGATATATCATAACATACTTCATATCATATCCAGGACGGTTATTAAACGGTTTGGGTAGTTGTCTTTGTTTGTTACCGAGAATAATAGTGATATCTAAACCAGACATATTTAGCAATTATAATAAGTTTAATGGTTTATATGTGATTTTTATTAACCTATAGTCTAAGAATACATGATTCATTTTTAATAAAGCAGAGATAATCTATAGTAATACTGATATATTAATATGGGAAAAATCGAAATATATATATATATACACACATTAATACGCATGATTTTTAAGAATCTAAACCATGTGCGGTTAATCCAATTTTAGGGATCCCTGCATATAGTCGCACAAGACATCAACTGACCTCTTACACGTTATATGAACTTCTAATAATAGCCAAATTAGCTCGATTGCACATGAAAACACAAACGTAAACATATTAATATTCGATATATGAAAAATAGCGATTTTTATCCAGAACATATTAATATATCTATTCGTTTCACAATGATTTTTTTTTTGTGATACCGCTAAAAATTATTTTCTATCGTTATTAATAATAAAGCCTTTTCTTATTGTGTATGGTTTCTCCGATAAGAAGAAATGCTAATGAAACTTGAAAAGGATAAAAGAATGAAAGGTTTACTTTCTTATCAGTAATAATATCAAATTTCATACGTTATGGAACTTGAGATCTTTACAATCTCCGAAGATCGTCGAAATTTGTCTTATTTTACACTTTGAATGAGAGATCGTCAGGCTAAAGGGTTTAAATTCCCCAGAATGACGAAATATATTTAGTGCTTGGTCCTTGTGATTCTAATAGAATTGCCTTGTGAAGAAAGGATCTGGAAAATGGTTGGGGTAACGTAATTACCAATCATGTAATTTTTTCTTCTAGCAGGTTCTCAGGTAACAAATGAAACTACAAATAAGGCGGATTTATGAGGTGGATTTCACCCTTATATTTTTTAACGGAAAAAAGTCTACAATTACAATGGAAGGAACACTTTCAGTTAAATTCGGTAAATAAATTCTTCTATTGACTTTAATAATGTATGGAATGCATGGACATAATCCTATAAAACAATAATACTTTTTTACATAGTGGGACTTGATAACATTTATCTCGCTGTTCATAATGGGGGCGGTAAAAGATTTGACGATGGATCACTAAGTCAAGGAGAACCTACTATGTTGTAAGTTGCATGATTTCTCTAATTGGTTTGGAAGGAAACGATTTTTGTTTTTCTATATAGTATATAACTCATTTTCATCGCTCTGTATGATCATAGGAAAGTTCAAAAAAAGGATTCGTATCTATTGGTCAATAACGAAAGAATACCTCTTGATAATATCATTAATAATCCGGGACAACTAGAAATTCAGACAACAGGAGGATTACGATTAAACTTAGAATACATTAGTGCTAAACCGGGAACCTTCCAAGAAGATGCAGGCGGTGGTAGCATTAAGAGAGAATAATATATACGTTTTTTATATATATATTTAATAAAATATTTTTACGCCTTTTTTGGGTGCTAGTTTTATAATTCATTACTTACATGATACGAAATATCAACTGTAATGCTTATCTAAAATTTTTGAGAATAGCAAGTTTATCAGTATAATATATTATTATATCTTGTATTTGAGCATCTGTTAAACTAGAAATATCATCAATACTACATTCAGAAAAGAATCCGATTTTATCTATCCCAATTCCATTAAACAATGTATAAATTTTTCTAGCCTTTTCAGTCGTCTCACGCAAATCCTCTATCTTTAATTCTGGACGTGCTAAAATCATTTGATTAAATATCTCTGTACTTGCCTTTTGATAATTAATTTTGTTTTTTTGAGCTGACCTTTCTTTCGAATTCCTAGCCGAAGATTGTTTGATTTCCTTAATATCATCATATAATTTTGCAATATTGGCTTTAACCTCGATAGTTTCGGCCTTAATATCGCCATTCTCTTTTCTAAGTTCATTAATCTCGGCTACGAGTTTGGAATTTAATTCCCTCAATGAATCGATTGTAGATTGCATGTTTTCCATTGTAGATTGCATGTTTGCGATTGTTTTATACTATATGCAAGATATATTCAAAAGCTTATTCACATATAAATATTGTAATTCAATTTTGTTGAGAAAAATCGAATCTAATGTTTTTATACTATATGCACGAAATGAAAAAAAATGTATTATGTAATATGGTAGAATCTGAAAAAAACCCATGGTAAACCATTTATATATAATATATTTTTTATTTCCTTGACCATTGATACATTTACGGAAGATAAAAATTGAAGTCATTTATCCATATTAATATAGATATATCAAATATGTCTCGAAAATCTAAGAATAACAGACGAAAAACTCAAAGTAGATTTACCGATAATCCTAAACAGTATATGCAATTCAAAAATCTGGTTAAGTATATGCATGTAATCGACGAAAATTTTATAACAATCATAAATAGGAATACGCAAGATACGAAAGCGATATTTGATTATGTAGAATTATGCAGATATTTAGAGGTAAATAATCTCGATTCAAATATTCTCAGCATGTAGTGGAAAATTATTGGATATGTGTAATAATTAATTAGCTTATTTTTTGACCACCTGGGTCAGTTCATTAATATAGGAAAAAATAAAAAACTCAGTATGAGCGAAACTTTATTGCTTTGCAAATATAATCTATAATTAATGTTAAGGAAGAATCTGTTGGTCTATTGTTTCGGAAAAATTACCAATTGCATCTAGTGATCTGGAACTCATTCGGACATTTGTAAATTCTTTGTTGTGCCATAAATGGATAACATTAAGCCCCTTATCCTGAAGTTCATTGCAAGGCCAATATGGATCCGTTACAACAGCATCCTCGCGAGAAAAATGCACGATCCAAACTTCCAGAGGGCAAAGTTGCTCGGCATACTTAAATACCTGTTCAAAATGATTATCTAATTTTGGTTGGGATACTGTTGCCAATAACTCTAATATAGCCACAGGATTAGTGGCATCATGTTTCTTTATAGTGAGGTCGCAATAAAAATGATGGAAATCACCATCCGCACATATACTCTCTAGATGCCATTGTCCAGTTATTTCAAAACCATGTACCTTTACAAGCCAATTATGCAAGATTCGGTACATCTCTGCGTCATAGACGCTCTCCCTAGGAACTTTTGCACGTTTCTTAGAATCTATGCATAAATGATTCGAACTTTTGTAAGAGCGGAAAGATCCCTGTGCAATAGTATTCTTGTCAAAAGTTCGTACAACGGACTTCACCACCTCAAGAATATTTACTGAACCATTGGCTTGCATAGGTACATCTTCATTGGGGAAAAGGTGACTCATTTCTGGAACTACATATTGCTTTTTCTTTGGTAAAGGGCCTATTATATTTGTAGCACTTCGTTTTTCCCTTAATGTAGATGACGATGATAATGTAGACGATGACGATGATAATGGCGATGTCGATGATAATGGTGATGTCGATACCTTTTTATTCTTGTTAGCTTTGTTCCACAAGCTATTTACTTTATTAACATCGGTCTATATAAAAACAAAATCGAGTGAGAAATATTTCCCAGTAAGCATAATTAGACGAAAAATAAGATTAAGATAGCTGGATGCAGGAATATACCAACAGTTAAGTTTTTGTTGTATTATAAAGGAAGGTACATAACCAATTCCTTCTCCAGAATCAGTAGACCTTTATCAAAAACTTATATTGGTAGATCCCATGATGTCTACTAGAGCGAATCCAATAAACGCATCCAATTCAGAACTTGTAAGAGTAAGTATTACCCCACCCCCATTAGAACGAATCCAATAGGTACAAGAACCTGACTAAAAGTCCCATCTATCTAAATTTACCGCCCTTAATATGCATACCTTTTTGTTCTCTATAAGTTTTTCAGCAATTTCTCGGATGTCTTGTGATATATTTGAATCATTACTGATATTATGTAACGTGTTAAAAAATGCTAGATGGGCTTTATCCTTTTCAGCGTGTTCGTAATTATCGATGACCAAAGAAATATAATGCTGGAGTGACCACTTTTCGTAAGGGAAAAATTCGAAGTACTTTTCATATGGAATACTGTGACAGGTGGATGAGTTTTCTCGGATGTGGGAAGCAGAAGCAACGGACATGATATAATAATTATGTATTAGAAGTTGTATGTTGCGAAAAACAAAAAAAACAATTAGCATATATATTTTCGTTATACTGCCCTTTTTAAACCGTTTTTGTTCATCTCTTTGTATGTCTTCTTTTGGACCTATAGAATGGGTATAATAAAGTGGAAGAAAGAAGTATTTACGCCAAGGAATTCACACAAAGAATCGTGCATACATATTATGGTCGTGTGTACGACACATTAAATTTCTAAAAATAATTTTTGTTGCACAGCCCCAATTAAATGCGTACAACATATTAATTAAATTATCTGATCGATTATGAATTTCTTCTTTACGATTAGAAAAATATGAAAAAGGCGCTCAACTATTTTATACCTGCGTTTAAGAAATATCCATAGAATATGCAGATCATAGAGTCGTTGACTCATATATTTCTTGCATAGGAAGGCTACTCACATAGCATGGATTTCCCTCTGATTTCGCGAAGATATGGTCAGAGAATATATAGAAGGTAGGTATATTTAAAAAGAGTTGTGAAGAATCAGGGTCAGGGATTGAATGAGAGGCTTCTAACTCACGCATCTAAAAAATTTCGCAAAGATCAAAATATATATATGATAAAGCGTGAGTTTGAACTCACGGGCGCAGTAATGTGGCGCAGTAATGTGGATATAAATTCAAATATTATTTTATTAACAACACGTCAAGAATATGAGATTTATCCTTCCAAAACTTTGACTATAACGCAATCGATATCATCTGTACTTAATCTCGATATGGATGACGCTGTAAAAGTTCTGACTTGGTTTATTTTTTCTTTACCAACGGCATCAAAAAGTTTATAGATTTTTCGAGCTTTTTCGGTTCTTTTACGAAGAGCTTCCTTTGTAATTGTTATAGGGATTTGATCACGAAGTTCTCTGTTAAGTATAGCACCAGACGCACTTCCACTATTATTTTTTTTAAGTTCCGTGCGCCGTTTTTTTAAAGCTTCACCGAAATTAAAATAACTATTGATAACCTCTCTATTCGTAACTTCATTTCTAGATTCGGCACGGTCAATTTTGCTAAATAGATATAAAAAAATGGTTGCTTTTTCTGAGGGAGCATTCTCTTCTATAATTCCGGTAACTTGTGGAGAGTTTTCAGTAGATGATAATTCATTGATAAGTTTTTTCAGATTTGATGAATCTTCTCTATTAACTGTTTTCGGTTTTTTATTAGAGGGTTTATCCGCAGACGTAGGATCCCCAACACGCTTGGATGGTAAAGTACTTGCACTCGATGTTCCAGGTATGTCAGATTCCATGCTTTGCGATTGATTATTTTCAGATGGGTCTTCCACCATCGTATCTGGATATGATGGATCATTCCCCAAAAAAGGGTCTAATGCTGAATCACCTGATTTATCTATGCTCATACTTCTTCGAGATGGTTCTCGCATTTGCGGTGACTTTTCTATGCTTTCGATATCCGCACCACAATTTTTAACCGGACATTTGGTTATAGTTTCTCTGATGTTCTCAAGGCAAAGACGATGAAAAATATGTCCACAAGTTAATACGGTGAAAGATTTTTTAAATATATGCAAAAAAATTTCTTCATTGCATATTGAGCATGGTTCTAATTCGGGAATGTCAATATTACTTGCAATACTTTCAGGATGGCCGTTTTTGAGAATATTCAAAGCAAGAGTTCTAAGGCACGTAATATCCATACTGTTGATATTATGCAAATATTTCAATCAAATAATAAGTAGTGTTTTTATAGCCATTTTATAGTCGCGAAGTGATGCTAGTATTTCCGCAAGTCAAAAAATCAAAAAATTGGTAATTTCGGAACAATATTTATCATGAATGGGATTAATTTATTCTCTATGAGCGATCCGTTACCTTTGCCGATCTTAATTGTTTGTGAATTTATCTGATAGGTAAAATCGAAAACTTTGGCACATCTCATACGACGCACAGACCCTCATTCGATGTCAAAAAATAAGCTTAATCGTTTTTATACAACAACAATAGGTACCTCTTATTTATTCGTAAAAACGAGAAGATCTGGTGATCGCATAATATTACACGACATTAGATATTTTTTCTTGCCAAAGTGATCGGCGTTATAAATCACAACGCGCACGTGTTTTTTTACGATATATTGAATAAATCTATTTCCTATATAAAAGAACATGACATCGGAACTTGAATCATTGAAACAAGAGAATGCCAGACTTATGGCTAGAATTGCGGAATTGGAACATGTTGTGGGAGAGAGTACCAGACGCGAAGCTGAGAATGTTGAGCTTAAAGCCGAAGTAACGAAATTAAGGCATGATTTTGAGGAGCTCAAACAGCAAACCCAAGTCATTACTAATGTGCAAGACACGCCTTCTATTGGGAATATTCCTGAACAAAAAGTCTCACGAAGTGAGGATGTTACCGCATCTGATATAACTATTAGCAAAGCTAACCCGACTAATACGTCTGCCTCCGACATTTGCCAGAAGTCAAATACATCTATCTGCACAGAGACTAAATCGTTAGAAGATAAAAAGATCGATGCATTCCTGGAATCAGAACATAAAAGAAGTGTTAGTAATGAGATAAGAAAGAGAAATAGGGAAAAGAAGATTCAACATACCATTTCTTCCGGAATAAATTCTACAACTGAAATTTCCCAAGATACCATATCTACTATAAACGATGATCGAAAAATAATTCAATCGGAATCGGAATGGGCAAAGCCCAGAGTCGAAGACTCATCACAAACTTTTTCTTCCGAAATAACGAAACTAAATAAAATTCCCTATAACCAGAAAGTAGAGCAATATTTAAGGCATGAATTATCTGTTTGCGTCAAAAATGATAGCAGTGAAATTAATAGCGGAGCTAGTGCCAAGGCACATAATGTATTTGATATACAGATTCCCGAATTATCTTTAGAAACAATTATAAGAGGATCTGGAAAAATTACGACACAAAATATAGTTGATGTATTTAATGTTTCTACGAAGACTAGACAAAAAGAGATTTTATGCTGGTATTGTTACTATAAAGCAAATGAGGAACCTCAATCTTATTTTCTACCTTGTGCATCGTAACTGGAATGTAAAAATCTTTCCCATTACAATTGATCCTCAGTTGATCCTTATCTCCTAGTATTTGATATTTGTGGCGGTAAAGGAAAAAGGGTTGCTCAATATAACCATAGACTTGTCATATTCAATGACTGCAAAATCTAAATGAAATACACAACCAGGAGCTAGGGTTAATGGTACGTTATAAACCATTCCAATAGATTTGGTTAGGACAGTGGCCGCCCCCTTGAAATAAAACACCGCACTTTTATCGATTTTTAAACCCAAGCGTTCAGCAATGTCCTTAGACATAAGTAAAGTATTTGAGCCAGGATCGACTGTAATGGCAGAAAGCACTAAACGATTGATTTTACCCCGAACAGTTGGAACATCTATCACATCTTTATCCCGAACAAAGTTAATTTCCATATCTTCGATAACTTCTTCATCCTCGGTATTGCTTTGAGGGTGGACTTCATTTGTGGGATTAGAATTCTGGATGATTCTGCGTATAATCCCCTCCAATAAAGCGGAATTTTCAAGCTCGCTTTGGATTATCTCACGAATTCGTCGTTCTAGTAAAGTCGAAGTGGGATTTTGTGATACTCGAGGAGAAACTTGAATCTCCTTACCCTCTGAAGGATATGCATCTTTCTTGCCTTTGGATCGGGATTGTTTGTCGGATATCTTCTTAATGAGTTCTCTAGGTCGATCTACTTTTTTTTAATTCTGGATACATTAACATTTGATTCTTCACTAAGTGCATTATCATCAAATTCACCATCATCCTCTTGATCGGAAATAGCAGATTCATTAGGGGTTTCTTCCGTATCACAGCTATTATCAAATTGATCTTGTGAGAACCCATCGGCGAAATTCACACGACCAGCTCTTTTCCTAGAATTATTAACCATCATATTCTTAATTATAGAACAACTGCGATAAGTATGACCTAGCTTTTTACAAATCTCACATTTGCGTTGAGCTTGTCTAGTACTTAATCTAGGACCTCTAGCCAGATTTATTGTCGGACTTTGTGAATTGGACAACCCTTCAAGCTGATCTATTTTATTCACAACATTGATTATCGCGTAATCAATTTCCATCGGTTCAAACACTCTATTATCCTCAGCCTCAAGACCCATTTCTGCATAGTTTTTCAATTCCTCGTAGTATTTGGCTTTCTCAGTTTTGGGGCGAAAATTGCGTTGAAATGGCTGGGATTCTGGTGGTTGGAATACTGGCTGTTGAACGATTTGCTGAGGCGGTTGGAATGCGGGTTGTTGAACGATTTGCTGAGGCGGTTGGAATACTGGCTGTTGAACGATATGCTGAGGTGGTTGAAAAGTCGTTCCATTCATACTATTTGCACTTCCATAATTAAACGAAGAAGGCCTACGTTTAAGCCACAAATTTTTGAGATGAGTAAAGAATGCATTGTAATTTGCGGGATTTGCACTTTCCATTCGATTGAAAAGGTCATCAGGTAAATGATTCATAAGGAATGACAAGGCATTAGCATCGT